GAGAAGGCGCGCCCCGCGTCCACGATTGGGGTGGGGGAGGCAGCCATGTGGGCGTGGGGTGGGGGATGCCGCCGATCGTGGGACCCGGGCTGAGCCCAGAGATCGAAAAAGAAAGTTCGCTGGTCTCTCTCACCCCCCGTAGGCCGGTGGGGCAGATCGCTGCCGTTGTCGGGCGCGGGCGACTCTGCGCCCCCAACAGTCCATTCCTGCCGCCCCCTTTTTCCGGAGGGAGGCGTGGGAGGGGAGGTTTTTCGCCGGGCGTCCCCTTTCGCTTCATCTTTCCCGCCCGCCCTCCATTCGGCTAGGCTTTCCCCGGCGCGCCTACGGTGCATACGCCGTATGCTCACTGCGCACAGGGGGCGCTCGGGAGCCCCGCCCGAGCGCTCGGACCCTCCCTTCCCAGCCCTCTTCCCAGCCGCTGCCGCCCCTGATCCGATCGGGCTGTGCAATCGCCAACTGGTGATTCAGGAATCGGCTCTGGGGTGCCTCCCTGGTCGGCAGCAGGGTTTTCCTCTCTTCTACCCGGCCCCTGCCGTCGGTCACACGCCGCCGCCTCTTCCCCCGCGGTGGCGGGAACCCGCGTTCCGTGCGTCAGCAGAAAAGCGGTGTTGATGGGGACCGCGGCGGCCCCGCGGCGAGCGGTTTCAGTTACTGAGATGCGCTCGCTAGACCGACAGCTCGGCTCCCGCGCCGCGGCTCTGCAGCCCAACGCTTGCAAAACCCGCACGGACAAAGCTCTGGGCCGGAGTCTCCAGGCGCCCTTGCTGGGGCGCTGTTCTGGGCCAGAGGGGACGGGCACATTCAAATGACCCGTGCAAAGGACCAAAGCGGTCAAGGACGCTAAAGGTCCAGTGACCTCCCACCTCTGCCCTCCACTCGCACCAAAGGGTGCTCCCTGATCAAGCTCGGGAGCCTGCCCCTTGCCCCCCCCACACACACACCGCCTTCGGTGACTCCGACCACCCTGCTTTGCAGACTTGACATTTCGTTGGCCTACATGCAGCAAAATGTCACAGTGCCGCGCTCTGGCACACTGTCCTGGGCTGCAAAGCTCTATTATTGACAACAGGCAGCGGCAAGCGAGTCAGGAGGGAAAACGGAGCTTGCAGAAACGAATTTAGCCACATTTTAAATTTAGCTCGCGGTGAGGTTCCTAGTGCGACCGAGGATGGGGCCGCTAGCCTGGCTGGCCTGCCTCCTCTGCTTGCAGGATTGAGCCCGAGAACCTGACCTGGGGTGCTGCGCAGAGCCTAGGGGGTATGCAGCAGATAAAGGAAACAATGTTTGGTCCATTCACAAGTTGTCTTCCGGTTTTCCAACCCCCACCACTGTCCTTTCAGTATGTCAGTGAAGCTTCTAACAGCCGGAAGCATTAATGGTGTCAAAAAGAAAGGCATTCGAGAGAAGTTGGTCCAGTTGGCTTATTTCTCAAGGCCTCAGTTCAGACCAGCTTGTTTCTGAATGAGACCTCATTTCTTTCAGATCCAGAGGGTTATGGACGTATATCTCAATGGGTAAGAGTTCGATGATAATAGTCTGTATTTAAACATTACAAAAATGTTCCCTATTTTAAAATGGTTCAACGTCACACACACGAGGTGGACTTGAGAATGGATTCCCGATTGACTATGCCAGGCTTACAGTGCCAGCCTGTACTGGAGCTGCCGCTCCATTCAGCTCCTCAGCTGTTGATTAGATTATAGTTAATTAACCCCTTAGCTTCCTCCCTCCCTCCCTCCCTTCCTCCCTCCCGTCCTTCCTTCTTTCCTTCCTTCCTCCCTCATAATACACAGAATGGCTCAATTATTGAAAGAAAAAAAAATACGCCCTGGTTGGTGTCATCCCATGCCCTGAAAGGTTGCTGGTTCAATTTCTGGTCAGGGCACATGCCTGGGTTTCGGGGCTGGAGCCCTGGTGGGGGGTGTGCAGGAGGCATCTGGATGTTTTTCTCTCACATTGATGTTTCTCTCTCTCTCTCACTCTCTCTCTGTCTCTCTCCTCTCTCCCTCTCCCTTCCTCTCTCTAAAATCAATAAAAACATATTTAAAAAGAAAATATCCTAATATTGTCTTTAGAACCCTGTTACACTGCTATGTGAAAACTTCATGTTGGCAATCCAGACCTATAGGTCATAATCTTTTTTGTTCATTGATGATCCATATGCAATATTTAAACTATTTATCAATAGAAAATTGAGTTTAGTAAGGACTTCGTGGCTTTCTTAATTATTGCTCTACCCTAAGGGTTTGTATGCATGTATATATTTCCCTGTGTCCTGCCCTTGCGAAAGGTAAAATGTACCAAAATCTTTCTTGAGTTGCAGCCTTTTTTCTTTTAATCTTTTTGCAGAGCTAGATCAGTACAGAATTGATTGGAGAAATAGAGTTCGAGTCCCTCTGAAAGTCCCCTACTGTGTTTAACATCCGTCATAAAAAGGTTGTTCCCTGAGTTGCCTCTACATGCAGAATGTAAATGCTTGTTAAAAGCAAAGCTTACAGAAACAACCAGTGTGA